ACCCTGAACTCCAGGCTGAGCTGCCTCTGCAAGTGCCTGGGAAGAAACACTCAACTTCAGGAATGGGTTTATCTGGGTGAGTGGATTATAGTGCTTAAAACTCTCTCTCTCTCTCTCTCTCTCTCACTCACTCACTTTTTTTTTGTATTTCTAAGTATTTTTCTGATTTTCTGTAATTATTATTTTTAACTTTTGTTAACATATAAAAAAATTATGGGAAGGGTGTCTGCCCTTCCAATAGGATTTTTAGAAAGAAGATATTTGACCCAGCTATCCCACTCCTCAGCATATACTCAAAGGAGTTAAAATCAGCTTTCTACAGTGACACAGACACATCAATGTTTATAGCAGCACAATTCACAGTAGCTAAACTGTGGAACCAACCTAGGTTCCCTTCAACAGATGAATAGGCAAAGAAAATGTGGTTTATATACACAGTAGAATATTACTCAACCTTAAAGAAGAATGAAATTATGGCATTTGCTGGCAAATGGATGGAACTGGAGAGTATCATGCTAAGTGAAATAACCAATCCCCCAAACCAAAGGCCCAATGTTCTCTCTGATCTGTGGATGCTAACCCACAACAAGGGACGGTAGGGAGGGGAAGAATAGAAGTTCATTTGATTAGACAAAGGGGAATGAAGGGAAGGGAGGTGGGAGAGGAATAGGAAGGACAGTAGAATTAATCAGGCAAAACTTTCCTACACTCATTTATGAACACACGAACAGGGTAACTCCACATCACGTACAACCATAAGACTAGGGTCCTAATTATAATAAGTTATACTCTATGTATGTATAATATTCCAGAATACATTCTACTGCCATGTATAACTAAAAAGAACAAATAAAAAGGAAGATATGAGAAATACATTTTCCCAGTGTTCATTGGTTTCCTTTTAAAAGCTTGTATTTTACCCAGATGTAGGATATGAATTAGACTTCTGTTAGAACTGTGGCAAGCATCTGCTTGACCTTTTTCCCTGGCTTCCTGGCTCTCAGGGCAGCCCTAACTTTTAGCTTTCCTACCTGCTCTGACTCCTGTCCCTGCTCCAGCTCTGCTTTCAAACTTGTCCCTCCCATGAGTAGCTACATAGGAGCTGTGTCTGGCTGTATGAACTCATCTTCCACCTTTGCTTATGATCTTCCTGCTGTCAGGACTGTTTCCTTTCCTACCTGGCAAACTTATTCATGCACCTCCACCTACCTCAAATCGAGTCATCCTGATGTTCCCTTCTTGATGCTCCCTGTTGGCCCATTCCTATACCTGCATGTATACTGCGGGATTATTTTACTCACCCCTGGATACCCAGATAGCACCTGGCACATAGTAAGTATTTTGCTACTATTTGTTGAATGGAGTCATGTGTCTTCTTTCCACAGAGGTGCACAGAGTGCTCACAATGTGCAAAGTGCCAGGCTGGGTACACGTGACTTTCCTGGGATTCAAAGTCAGTGAGGCACAGACCTTGCGTGTAGGAGTTTACAGTCCAGTAGGACACAAGACACAGGTGAGGACAATGACAGTGGGACCCAGGCAGCTGTTTCTCCCCTTTTCTCCTTATTGATATCCCCCCTTAACTGAAGATAGCTTGAAAACGCACTTCAGATTTACTGCTTGCCTTACTTCCTCAAAAGAATCATTTCCTACACACAGTTTCTGAAATAATGTAATGGGATGATTTTCTATTTCTCTCTCCATCACAGTATGAGAAGGACTATTTGAATAGTCCAAGTGGCCCCACAAACTGCTGTTTCCCAAGCAAGTGTGCACCCCATGACCAGAAGTGTACAAGTCACAGCTGGTGACCACCAGGTACTCTGGGGACAGCTGAGAAGGGACTGAAGCTAGAGAAGGCTGGCTGAACTGGATGACCTTGAAGGTCTTTTCCACTCTAAGAAAAATAAATCAAGCCTCAAGATCACAAAACTGGGACTTCTGAGATGCTGTCATCTTAGTCTAAAACCTGGAGCAGTGCCCCGTTGAAGGGGGAATTTTCTGGAAACCCTGCTGATATTCTGTCTTAAACCCTTTGGGCTCAGTGGATTTGCTCTCTGGCTAAGTCCAGAGAGCATTTCCAGAAGCATGTCCCTGATTTGCAGACCTTGTCTTGTACTGGGACTGGCGCAAATGAGAACCTGCTGAGCCTTTGCACATAG